ACAATGTATTTTTTGAGATATTAGTGAATAAATTTTGAAGGCGAAATGAGGACATCAGCTGGAACGGTAAAACGATTGGTTCATGTGAGAAAGAAGAGACCTATCTAGAATGCGCCACGTACTTGGTTTCCGCTAAGCATTGTGAAGACCTTTCAATGTGTATTTAGATTGTTATTATTAGCGCGAATTATTATTATTATTAAAAGCGAATTGTTTATTTACATTACAATAAGTAAATAAATAACGAATCATGAAGATTGGTAGATTGACGATAACCCCTAAAAATAGTCAATCGATACAATCAGTACNCTAAACATTGTGAAGACCTTTCAATGTGTATTTAGATTATTATTATTAGCGCGAATTATTATTATTATTATTATTAAAGCGAATTGTTTATTTACATTACAATAAATAAATAAATAACGAATCATGAAAATTGGTAGATTGACGATAACCCCTAAAAATAGTCAATCGATACAATCAGTACCAAAAAGATTGATAGTTTTGATGAAACTGAGCATTTCTGAATAACTCGAATCTACGGTCCATACTTAATATCACAACAACGAGCACCTCTTTGCTACTAGAGCCTCCTCTTTGGAACATACCACAAAATCTGGATACCGATACCAAAGAGCCAATATGAAGTGTGGAAGTAAGCGGGACACACAAAGGCCTCGTCCTGCAGCAGAAACAAAAAGGACACAACTGTCTGAGCTCTTCGCCTTGACCGAACTGGATAAACGCTCCTTTATTAAGAGGAATCTCTGTTTGCCGAGTGCTTCGAAATTTCAGCCGTGACAGCAAATTATTTAAAAAAAAAATGAAGACAGAGAAAACCTCGCTTAGTTATTCACAGGAAAGGGGCCAACTCAATGTTATCGAAATTTGCGCCTTCCATGTATTCACTCTAAGTCTATTTAATATTAAGTTATGATTTTTTAGCTTTTCAATTTTTTTTTTCATCACCACACCGATCGAAACTAATTAATAGAGATATTTTGTAAAAAAAAATGTTTTTTGTTTCTCATCAAAATTCTACGCAACGTCGTTAACAATTTCAAGCTGTAAGATTAAGTGTAAGAGTTGTTAAAAGGCTCATTCAGCGGGAAACCGTTAAACCGCAAACAACTTACAATACGAAAAGGTGTGATTTAGAATATGGGGGTGCAGGAACCTGACAAATAGACCCAGAAAATAAATACGACGGTCGCGTAAGACCACTTGCCACAACAACAATAAACACTTAGAACTTTTTGGTGGGAGAGTTGGCTTAAATGCTTTCTCTACAACGATTTTCCTAAAAACCATGATAGTCAACATTCGCCATTGGCTGCGGGCCTCCACATTTTCACCATTTTTGAATAGGCTCGAGATGCTGGGATTGAACAGCCTCAATTCTTCCAGTAACTCTGCTTACCAAGCGAACCCGCCTTTCGACCACATTAAACGAGTCGTGAAATCATTCCCTACGTGTGCTACTGAATGACCACCTACTTCGCCCTTTTTTTTACATGCCATCAAGACAAATCCAACTCATGGGAAACAAGGGGAGCAAACCAAAGTGGAGTAGTAGCCGAATGCACTGACCAGACATTATGTCACCCCTCGAATGCTCCCGAATCACTCAGGCCACTTATCCTCTGGCTCAGGTACTCCGCAGCAGACCTTTTAGAGTCTAAGAATACCCTGTTGAATGACTACTGGGATTCGTTCTAGGGGCAAACGGATGCTTTCCAATGCCTACCCTTGAGTATAGGTTGAATGCGTGGTGTAGCCCAAAATCACGAATTCATACCAGCCTTTTTGGGTTCAAAAACCTGAATCGCTGAGAATCTCAAGTACCCCTTACAGGCGAGGGTCATGACAATAAAAGTGAGTTTTCTGCGACGTACACATGCGTGACTCAACACTTAAGTGGTCAATTACTCCAGTTTTTGGTCTCTTTCCTAAACCAACAGGCCACTCAAAATCGATCGAAATTCTCAGTTCAAGTCGATTATGAAGCATAATCCCCGATTACATCTTTGAAATTACAAAAATTGTTACTGAGTTGCGTTGCTGCAAGTCATAGGGCTAATTAGTGTGCCTCATTTGCATCTTGACTGCTTTTTCATTTTGCAACGATTTTTTCTTGACAAAAATTCAAGAAATCTCTCTATGAAGAACTTTTGAGGGGAATTGGCAACATACCAGGAGGTGAAATTTAAAAAAAAAAATAAATGCAAAGAAATAATGGGGTTCCGCGCGGTACAAATTTTACAGAACTACAGGTATCCCTTCTGAGAATTGGCAGTTAAACATCTGTCAAATCAATAAAGAACGGTCAATAATCGGGAAAATCAATAACCTCACCTGGTCGTCTGACAGAAGCGCTTAAAGCGCAGTATCTGGTACATAAAAGACAGAGGAATAAAGATAGTCTCATGATTAACAGCTGTTAGGAGTAAGGTAGACAGGATCCGACAGCGGTCTAAGGGCAGGAAAGGGCCGGAAGCCCTAAAATGCTAAGAGTGACGAAAAAAAGTACAGCAGAGACGGGCGTAGAGGACGGACGGAGTATGGGGAGGAGCGCGAACGGATGGACAATAGAGGGGTTGGCGCTGGGTGGCTGGCTCTGGCGACGGAGGCCGTGATGGCTGCTGGAGGATGGCTGTGGCCTGGCCCACCCTAGACGTATTGATCGTCGGCCTCATACCCGAAAAAGCACCATAACCCTCATTCAGACGATCCGATAGTGGGAATCTGGTACATCACCCCCTTAGATGCTTCTGGATTGTGCGAAATGTGATTTGTGAGTCTTCCAGGTGAAAGCTGGACAGCGCAAGGGTCATTCTTCCTGGCCATTGCAAGTGATTGATTGCATTATTGATTCGGCGTAATCAATACGTCGACAAATCAATTCCTATAAGTGGATAATACAGAGGTCCTGCAAGAAAGGAAGAGCAATTTACTTGTCACCCATTTCCCGGTAATTTAGTTGCTGCCTCACTGAAAAGACCACTTACCCCGTGACAAAATTTTTTCTCGGCGATCCTCTGGGTCCTTTGTCTTTGAAAAATTCACACTTCTCTTCGCATTCGAGTACCCGGTAGGGTGGATGACCGTAGTGACAAGTGGCCCCGCTACAGCATACATAATAAGTGGATCACGGATCCGGGCAAGCCGACCTTTCACCTTCATTTAGTTGTAGACTCGTGTGGAAGGGCGAGAACTTTGTCTTCAATGTCGCCTGATAACTGCGAGTCACTGTATGGGTCAATCTCGCATTCAAACTCCACCAGGATCTTGAACGGATGTCGAGTGCATGGCATATCCCACAAGGGGATCAATTGTTGCCAAAGGATTAGACTTTTTCTAGAGATTAATGGTATACGGCAATAGCGACACACCAAAAATAGACTTCAATTTCTGGCGACACAACGTTACCACAATCTTTGTTATTATGATACCAGTTCAAGTTGAAAGTAGTCTAACTTTGGTACTTTCCCACCCATTAACCTAACGAGCAGCAGTTCATGAGCATGACACAGTTGTATAGGCCGAGGTTCACCTCCTAGATGGAGGCCCTCATTAAATATGCTCGCGGAATCCGATGTAACATTAGATACAGCCGATTACGTAGCTATACGATTCGAAAATTTTACACAGAGCTTAGTTACTAGTGTGCACTCTCGTTTAATTCCTTCATTTACTAGCTTTCTCTCTCTTTCTCTACATCTCTCTTCCTTTGTATTTCTCTCTCTCTCTTCAATAATCTCTCTCTATCTCTCCCTTTCTCTCCCTTCATCCTCTTCCAGGTATTCCAAGACGAATTCTTTACCCAAACTGGTGACTTGCTGGTAGAACATCGTCAGAACAGTCTCAAAAGTGTAATAAAGGTGTTAGACAGTGAGTAACAGCTATGATTTTCACACTACAGTAGCAGAAATCAGACATTTAGTTCAAGTTTGAGGTGAACAGACCATATACGGTCACATGTGTCTAGAACCAATCTTTAAAACTAGTACATCGCTCCATGCATTCTTCTCTTAGCGCATGGGCAGAATAGCAGGTTTCGGAAGAAAACTTGTTTTGAAGGAAAAGAAAGTAATTTTCATCACTCTGCCAGAGTATACCATCATACCATTTCTCGAACAAAATGCATATAGGGTTTAAGCCATTCCCCGAATAATCCCCTTCGACGGGTGCTGTAGACAAACGAAAACGGCATACAGCAAATTACGAATCGTCGATCAACGGATACTACCCCACTCTCCTCAATCACTTGAACATTATTACGAAGTCTGATTCCTAATGAATTCTGGCTTCCAACGCACGGCATTCTCCTCAGGGATTCTCCATTTAGCTACGTAATTTTCGCTCTGATTCTTCCTCCTTAATGTCGTCGACAACTGTAGCACCCTACGTTTATACTGCGGTAAACTTGCATCCGCCTGGCATTTACCACTAGGTTTTGAATCCTGATTCACCCTTTCTAGAAGTTATGTTGGCTAAAGCTAATGCCGGTTGCTGCCTGTAGAATCCTTCAGAGCTACTAAAAATGTTTAAACCGCCA